AACAATAGAGGGTATTGTAATGGCATGTATGATGGATGTATCTCATCAATCTCTGTAAAATACCTTTATTTGTTTGGACAATGATATCTCAATTTCTAACATTTTCATTTCCATCACCGACTATAAGTGCAGCTATTTCATTTGTTGTGGGCATTATATATTGTCTTCCTTGCCTTGATTCTATGATTCTTATACGCAAATCACGAACTTCCTCTTGAAAAAGCATATCTCTAACTCTACGAAAAAACTTGTACATATGAATTAATGAGACCAAGCATACTTTGTAAACCTTGAACAATTTATGTATCAACATGTGATGCACTACCATTGCTATTGATTGCATGTATTCTATTTTGAACTTCATGTTTTGTATCATGAATATACAATTGAGCAAACTTAAGTCTTCTATCGGGTTGTGGTAGTAATGATCCTATTTTGTGAAAATTTTCTCCATTAATCCTGAAACAATACGAACCGCTTCCATCTAAAACACTATGATCAATTCTTCTTCTCATTGATGTAAATGACAATATAGAATTATAGTTCTATATCTAATCTCTAAATTTGTTGTCATTAAAAAGCGTCAAACTTGATATTATTTCTCAAAGACTTAAAAAGTTTCTCCTCCATCCATATAAGTGCAAAACAATGTCTACATCTTACAAATTTCTTACCAAAATTCCATCATTCCATGAATTTCCTTTGGGATCGACATAAAAAAATTAGATGTTCTAAAGTAGAATGAGGACATGTTACTTGAATTGAACGATTGGCAATGACATTATTTTCATTCCCATCTTGTAATTGATGTATGTCCACAACCACACCCGTAGCAACACTCGAATGTTCATTTAATATTGTAGAAGATCTCATAAAAAAAAAAAAAAAAAACATTGGTATGACTAATCAAAAAGTTGACAATTTAGGTTTGTGTTTCTGTTTTTGATATCTCCATTGATATTCTCCTATGAAGCATGCTCGCTACTCTCATAGATCGGTAATTTTATGTTTCATAGATATGTCAGGCTTTTTCCTCACTATAATCATCTTAAGCTTTCTAATCCTTTGAGAGAGCCTATAGCAAATAACTTTTCTATATGACATTGTTCTAAATTCCTATAGGCATCAAGTATATAGATTCCTATGAGCTAATGAGACAATAAAATTAGATTAATAATTATGTCATTGTTATGGTTTCCTATAACCATTAAGTATATAGATTCATATGAGCTATTGAGATAATCCAATTAAGATAATAATTATGACATCGTTATGATTTCATATAGGCATTAGGTATACAAATTCCTATGAGGTAACGAGCTAATCCAATAAGAATAATAGAAAAAGAAATTTTAATTAAATTTAAATATTGTATTTATTAAAATACTTATCTATATATATAAATATATATATATTACTACTAATTAATAAAAAACTATTAATTATTAAAAATTATGAAAAATTCTACAATTATAAATACTTCTAATCAAATATTGTAATTAATAATGTTAATTAATTAATAAAGTAAAAATAACAACAATTATTAATATTACTATAAATTATTAATAAAACTAAATTTATGAAAAAAAATTTGTTCATATTAAATTAACAATAATTATTTTCTATAAATCAACATTAAATGAAAATACAATTATTAAAATTTAAGATATTAACAATAACTTTGAATACTTTTAGTTAATTAATAATAAATTTCGATTATTAAGTTAATATTAATTAATAGTAAATAAAATTATTAAATCTTTCAGATTTTCCCGTGCATTGCACGGGTCCCCGCTAATTTACATGTTACAATTGATGAAAAGATGTTTTCAATGCATAGCTATCATGTGGGTACGTGTGGGTAGGATTCTTATAATTAGGAAATCCGAATTCATATTTATAGGCCCAACACGCAAATGGCCTAAACAGCAACTTCGATGGACCATGTTGGAGTTAGGGATGACAATTTTTCCATTTATTTGATCACTGTTATGACCCACCCCAAAAGGGTCTCCACCTTGTGGCATTATCCATATGGAGATTCCTCCATAGTAATATATACTTGTATTAACAATTTTTTTAATTTGTGGTGATATTTTAAAAATATGTTTGAATGTATTTGAGGTTTGGATTTAGTTCGATAGTACTATAAACTGTGATTATTTTATTTAAAAATTGGAATAAAATAAAAATAAAAATAAAACGAATTTAACATCATAAAAAATGATGGGAAATTAGGATCTCCATGGGGATGGAGATGGGGTCAACTACGTGAGGCCGGTTCACCTTAGATCAAGTTAGAGGGTTGGAATGTGTTTTGTTGGCAGATCTCAATTCAAACTACCCCCGATTGATGGGAAGGATAGGGATGGGAATTTTTGTGGGGATGAGAATTGGAAGTGGCTCCTCACATTGCCCCCATTGTCATTCGAGTACGGCTTCAGTCAGGGCATGCTTTATATGTGCATTGTTCACACAAAAGGAGGATGTGTCGTGCGTCCTTAACTTCATGTGACCTGACTGAAGTGTGCAGGCTATAGGAAACAACATCTCCTATCAATGTTGTTACATTATTTCAAAAAAATGTCAAGAATTTTTAACACTTCTCACTCCTCTATCGCTCGTAGGGTTGTTTCCTCCCTCTCTTCCCTTCCAACTAGTGGCGACCAACAACCATCACTGGAGGTGATCAACAATCATCACTGGCGACCAAGGGTCAACCTTAGGTATTGATTCTTTTCAAGTTTTTTTTTCTTCCCCTTTGCATCTCTTCCATGAAAAAAGTAACCCTAAATGGTTTGGATGGAAACCATCAGCGACTGTTTCACTAGATAGTAGCAACCAACAACTATCACCAGCGATCGGAGCTCAACCTTAGGTATTGATTCTTTTCAAGTTTTTTTCTTCCCCTTTGCATGCCTTTCATGAAAAAACTAACCCTAACCGGTTTGGATGACAACCATCAACAACTATTTCACCGAATACCGATGACAATCAGTTTCAGGTACGTACATCTTCCTTCGTTTTGACTTCCCCAAAACCAAAACTTGTTAATGGTTGTTGGTCACTACCAGTTGAAAGGGGAAAGAGAGGAAACAACCCTATGAGCGAGAGAGAGAGAGAGAGAGCGGGAAGTATCAAAAACTCTTCACATTTTTTTGAATATTGTAACGGCGTTGATAGGAGACGTTGTTTCCTATAGCCCACATGCTTCAGTCAGGTCATACGAAGTTAAGGACGCGTGGAATGTCCTTTTTCATGAACAGTGCACGTATAGAGTGTACCCTGACTGAAGCTGAAGTCTTGTCATTCCAAGTTTGAGTCGATTCAACTGGAGATAGGGTTCGACGAGTTGGGTCACCTACCAACAAAATACGTTCCCACACCCAACCAACTTACATCTCACTATGAAACTCGCCACATATGAGATGTGCAGTAACAGATGAAGTTGGTAGAGTGTTACAACAAATTTCGTTGGTAGGTGATCTGGACTTGGGTCCAACAGCCAAAAAAGCATCATCGCATATATGATGTTTGTCAAGATGAGCCTTCATTTTTTAACATTTTTATCTACTTGAGCAACCTTTACGGCCTTGAATCAGGAATATCCCTGTACTTATGTGCTCTATTTCGTGGAGAGATATTCCCGATGTAAAGTAGTTGCAAGAGGCTATTGGGACGGTGTGAGCACGAGCTTGCCCTAACTAAAGCTAATCTCAATTTAAACTTTGTTGATATCAAGGCACAGGTTCAAGCCCATGTCAGTAAACTACATATGTACCCTGTTAGAAAGTCGAACGAGTTGTTTAGTTCTTATAATCTACAGTTCAATGACCAAAACGGTTAAGGTTGGACCAAGTCTGAAAATAATAGATAGGCATATCACTGAATTATTTAGGGAAAATTTCATTTTAGTACCCTGAATTTTGGGGGTACTGTCAACTATCAAGTTAGTACCTGACCTTTCAAACGTGTCATTACAGTACCCAAACGTTCAAAAAGTGTCAAGTTGGTCCAAAACCCATAAGTATCATGTAAAAGGATAAAAGTGTCATTCACCTATCATCTAATTTTCTTATGATTCATATCCAATCTCTCACCAGTAACCACCTCCAATATCAAGCTGGTTATGGATTCAGGTATTCACGTCAAGCATTTAGTAGGGGAGTGAAGAGTCTTGAGCCCCAAAAGCTACCTTTTACGATTACTTTCTGACTCTCGTTCAAGAAGACAAGCATTATTACTCTGGGTCTTCTTGTTCTGCTGATGTCAGAGCAGTCGCTCTTCTTTGCTACATTGCTCGGAAGGAAAGCTCCTCAAGATGAAGTTCAAGCCATACAACCCCGACTTCAAATTGGCTTTCGAGCATTTCTGTATTCGTGCAGGTGGAAGCGTTGTTCTGGATGAATTACAGAAGAACTCGCAGCTATCCGAATGGCACATGGAACCATCAAGGATGACACTTTAGCGGTTTGGCAACACCTCGAGCAGCTCTCTGTGGTACGAATTGGCTTACACAGAGGCTAAGGTAAGGATGAGGAGGGGAGACAGATTATGGCAGATTGCATTTGCGTCAGGGTTCAAAGTCTGGAAGGCTTTGAGGACCATAAACCCGATGGATGAGATCCACAAGTTGCCAGTGGATGTTCCAAGGGTAGCAGCTCTCTGAACTCCAATCAAGCTTGAATAGTTCATCTTTTCTTCTGTTCTGGGCCAGTACTTTTTACATGGAATTGGGTTGAAATGTTGAGTTTGTACTTTAAGAAGATGGATTTGGAGCGGTGGTGCCATTCAGGATTTTCTATGAGCAGGATGGTTAGATTAGTTTCGAGGTGGTTAGGCTTATCCAAAAAGAAAATGGTTTGGATCAAGAGGAGGTTGGCCTGTTGGGTATTTTCATGCTGACTTCTTCATGACTTGGGATTATGGGATCCATTGGAACTAATTCACATTTGCTGGAATGTTATTCCTACATTCATAACTTCTTCATGATTCTTTGATTCTCCATACTCTTATACTTGCAAAATGACCCATAATTATTGAGAAGATAGCTTTTAAGTAATTCTCAAGTGTCAAAGGTTCGTCCAATTAAGCAAGAAGCTCTGGTGGGCTTGATCTGAACTTTCACATCATATTTGTTTCTTGACATTGGTTTATGGATGGGATTTCTTTGCACCAAGAAAATGGAATGAGGTGACCAGAGTTCCCCGCTTCACAGGCAAGGTTTTTTAGAACCAAACCGGACAACAAATCAGTTAGGGGTCCGGTTTTTGGGTCGAGTGGTATGACCGTTCGAACTGAATGAATGGCCCATTCTAAAAAAAAATAAAAATCGGTCAAACTATTGAATGGTTCAAACAGTGACTGCCCGGATCAGCGGTTTGCTAACCAAATCAATGGTTACTGGGAATATAGCAGTTCTAGAGTAAAATGGAACCGGTCACCTGACCGATTTCGGTTTTTCCGGTCCGGTCCAGTTTTAAAAACCATGTTCCCATGTGGAGAAGAGAGTTCCAGGCTTCCAGCCTCCCAGGTCCCAGGTGAGGGGGCACACCACTTTTGTATTTTTGGTAATAAATAAATATTGAATAATAACATGGTTGTTGAGGATGGCGGTACAATTTTGGACTCGCATTTCCCAATGTTGTCTTTTCCTTTCCCCCCTACAGAACCAGGAGGTGCAAATGGTCTCAAGCAAGAGGCGTTCTGCAATCTGCATCAGCACCGGCGCAATGTGGAGAATTCTGTTATGTCTAGTGCCTATGCCCACTGGAGAATTCTGCAATCTGCATCCCCCATCCCTGAAGGCTGAAGATCCCTCTCTGTAAAAAAGCTTGCATAGTTGCATAGCTCAAAGTCTTGTATCAATGAAACTTTTTTATATTTCCAGCATTGCTTTGCTGTCTAGTGCCTATTTCCAACATTGTTTGAATTTTGAAGTTTATTGAACTCTATGCTTATACGAACTAAATATTTTCTATTTTTTTCTGTATTTTTTTGCAATTTTTTGTTTTTTCCTGCTTTTTTGCAATTTCCTGTTTTATTTCTGTTTTTCTCTATATTTACCTGCACTTTTTTATGTTTTGTTTTTCTGTTTTTCTGTTTTTCTTTATGTATTTATTTGTAATTTTCTGTTTTTTTTTTCTGTATAGTTTTGCAATTTTCAATTTTATTTCAGTATTTTTTCTATACCTATTTTGCACTTATATGTTTTTTTCTGAATTTGTTTTGCAATTTTTATTTTATTTTTGTTTTTTCTCTTTATTTGCAAACTCCCTTTTTTCTGTATTTTTTTGCAATTTTCTGTTTTATTTTTTTGTATGTCTGAATTTTTTTGTTTTATTTTTGTGTTTTTGTTTCAGTTTTTCTGTATTTATTTGTAATTTTTGTTTTTTCTGTATTTTTTGAAATTTTCTGTATTATTTTGTATTTATTTTGTACTTTTATGTTTTATTTTTCCTTTTCTGTATTTTTCTGTACTTATTTGCGCTTTTCTGTATTTTTCTGAAATCATTTTGCACTTTCATGTATTTTTCTGTACATATTTGCACCTTTCTGTATTTTTTTGTATTTTCCTCTATTTGCAATTTTCTGTTTTATTTTTCTGTTTTTCTGTATTTTCTGTACTTTTCTTTTTCTGTTTTTTTGATATTTTTTGAATTTTTGTTTTCTGTATTTTAAGAGTTTTTCTGTATTCTTTTTTATATTTTTGTGTTTTATAGTGTGTTATTTTTAATTAGATAGTTTTATTTCTATATTTTTCAGTTTTTATTTAATTCTGTATCTTTCTATATTCATTTAAACTTTTATGTTTTTTGTATTTATTTGCAATTTTAGGTATTTTTCGGTATTTTCCTCTATTTTATTTGCAATTTTCTGTTTTATTTTTCTCTTTGTGTTTTTTCAGTCTTTTATGAAATCTTCTACTTCTGTTTTTTCCGTATTTTTCCCAAGTGGGCCATCGGGCACCGGTTAAGTGGTAAAAAAGTAGTCAGGGCCTTGCAACCGATGGCCGTCATTTTACTACGACGAAATCCCAAGAGTAGAGCATATACTTTTTATGTTTTTATTTAAAAAAGACAAAATCTGAAAATCAAGCTATAGCCTGGGCTCACAAAAGACCAGAGAGGAGTTGCAAATAAAAATAAAAACAAAAATAAACAGACACACAACTTTAGAAGTGAGAACATTCTTCAATCGTTTTTGCCGTGAGACGCATCTCTATCACTGTCAATTGAATTCAAGTGTTTTTTTCCTACAACTTCAAAAAACGTTTAACTAACCTTCTTCCATCATCAATCGTTTGTGCCAAGACATTCAGCACAAACTTAAGCAGATATGATCGCATTGAGACACACGAGTATTTCTCATCACATAATTTATTATTGATCAAATAAATTTGTTTTCCAACTACAATTAAGACTTGAGAGCTAAGTTCCAAGTTATGTTTACAAAGTCTTCAACATTCCCACAGTACAATGTCAAAAACAAACAATGAAAGTAGTGAAATCAGCAAAGCCTTGTATCCCAACTACATGTGATATGAGTGGCACACGCTTGCTGAGTTGCAGCTCTAACTAATAACAGAAAACAAACTATCACAAAGATCAAAATGTCAAATAGAATTTTCAACGACTAGGCTTTGCGATGTATACAAATTGAGGTTAACCAGGGAACACACCTAAAACGTCACTACAACACCGACATTAACAAAACCATCACACATGGTACACAAAATTATTATCAATTGAAATTTGAAATGCCAAAGAATGAGATAAAAGAAGAATGCAATAAAATCAAGGAGAACCAAAGCCACCTTTTCATCAGTCTTGATCCGAGGTCTGACCCGAAATAAAAACTTGGCCTTCCCAGACCAATGTTAATTTTAATCAATTCAAAAAAAAAAAAAAGATTGACTGCATAAGATGGGAAAATAATGGCAGGAGAATACCTAGTCTACCTAATACTACGATAAGCTTTTAACAAGGACTTGAAACTACCGTTCCATATTCAAAATCTCCACTTGCGCTATATTCTATTTTTCTAGAAAGCACATCTTTATCAAACCCTGTCCAGACTAAAAACCATAAGAGCACACTTAACAACCCACTCCAATAACTCCTGTGTATTTTTGCTTTCCTCCAGTTCAATTCAGAAACCTTCATGTTCAGATGGAAACTGCGCTAATAAAAAAATGATGCCTAAATACTACCCAAGAAGACTACAAGCAAACACTTCTCTAGGTTATTTTAATCCTTTTTTTCTGTTATGTCCTTTAGGGAATTCACCATCACACCACTAAAATACAGCTCCAGCTTGTAACACCACTAAAAGACAGCTCCTGATATGTTATATGTAATTTCCAAATCATTACTTCTCAATTACAAAGTACTTAAAAAGATATCATAACAGACTTGTCAACCAAGCTCATTTGAAGCATTCAGTCCTTAACAGAAAATTCAGGTACTTCAAGTGCTGCAAATGATAATCATTATCCATGCCCAGTATAAAATGTTAGAGATCCAACTAAACTTAACTAGTACAATTATTACTACTAATATTATCACACAAGACCCCTGACAGAGTAGAAAACCAACCTTCCAAATAACTACAAATAAAAAACCATCTACTTCTAGCTAACGGAAGAAGATAACTCCAATCTATAGTTCTTATAGAATGATGTATAAAATGGTATACCCTCTGTTTCCATCTCTTTGATAGTACACAGAAATACCAACTAACGGTTGTAAGGGAATTCCAGTGTTCACATTACCAAACAAACTCACTCTATATGGTCCTCCATTCCAATGTAATTAGCCTCCTGAGCCCAAAAATAAAGAAAAACATGATAGAATGCACAGCACGTTGTACTTATGAAGTCAAAAGTACTTCCTAGAATCCATGTATTTTTCAGGATCAAATTTCAAGAGAGTTGCATGTTTCACAAGCCATGATCTTCAAGCATGAATTCCACTGTTAAAACCATTATCTTCTTGTTAGCAATTTACCCTTGCCACCAGCAAGAAGGGCAAGCCTGATTAAGGGTGAGCTTGCAAACTCTGTAAGATTAATGTTGGACCAACCAAAAGATAGTATGATTATAATACACCAAACTTCAGACAAGAAAGCCTTTGTAACCAATAGGTGGTCTTATTTGGCACTTAAACATGATAAACATCAATGCATGATTCCATTTACCAAAGGATAATTCACCGAGTGTTTCCTTCATGTTAGGTCTGGACTGTAGCATTGATGCTAATACTTAATCAGCCTTTGCAATAATGCCTCCTGGCATTCCAAGCTAATCCTTTACCCAGGAATTTAGGGAATAAAATCATCCAAAAGGACTTGAAACTCATTCTGAAGCTCCTAACTCATCAAGCTTTCATGTATGCCAGAAATTTTTGCCCATTGCTAGAACACAGCATACAACCTCTTTGCCCGTCAAATGTAGTTCTTATAAGGAGAGAATTAAATATGCATGTCATACATAACAGACAGTACGGCTTGTTCTATAACTCCAACTCAAAGATCCTTACAGTGAAATAAGACTGGAAAGAAACCCACATTTATAGCCCAACCATGACCCAAATTGCAGCTATTGCATTGTACAACTCAATGCTTAAACCCCCACTTCTATCTGGCAAATTGATAGGCCAATTAACACTCAATAATATGCGTCTTTCCAAGATTGTAGGCATCATTATGCATAAAGCTCCAATAATCCACGGCCTATAGCATGCTCTCCTCAAGTTAAATCTGTGTCAGATACAAATTCCTGTGACCACCACGCTCAATCATCACCAATCATACTGCTACAGGAAAACCAAAGCAATGTCTCCTACTTATGAAGAAATAAAAAAAGAACATGAAAGAAAAAAGGCCAACAATACATGATTACAAGGCATGAGAAGTCAAGTGTCGTCAAACACACAATTATCTAAAAGCACAAAAAGACAGAGTGCACAGAACAGTGACTTACCTCAATAATAAGATCCAGAACCACTACTGCCCAAGTAACCACTGCCACCCAACCCACGGCTTGAATATAACGATGAATATGAGCCACCACCAACCTACAATCAGTGCTTAATAATTTTATTAGATGGCATTTAAAATTTTCCAACTCAATATTAACATTACTGACAAAATGAAAACTTCATGACATACATCAGGCCCACGAGACATATAGTCACTGCCATAACTTGATGAATACATTCCACCAACATCACTGCTACCATAAGAACCTAGAAACCACCACAATAACAGAATAATTGAGCTTTAAACAGCAATCAAAGCCACAATGGGATTTCAAATGAACGAGTGGAAATGAACCTATCAGATATATTTGACGTACCTCCACCATAACCCATACCCTGGCGACCACCATAGAGTCCATGTGATTCCTGACCTGAGAGAGAACTCCGGCTGCTGCCGTATCCTAATTGAGATCTCCCAAGCCTTGCAACAGCAAGAGAATGGGTTTGTTTTGTTACAAGTTCTAAATATAAAACAAAAAAAAAAACATATCATACAGCTTGGATTTCTAAAAGTTCTATCTAACCTGTCACCATATGCATCCCCGTATTGGGAGGCACTGCTACTAACTCCATAGTCTAAGCGAGCTCTTGACTGACGAACACCAGCATCAGAATAACGTGGAGGAACATCATCCTTTGACAATAAATCATTATCAGAAAACTTCGTGGTCTTGACAGAGAAGAGAACAATAGTATAAAAGAAGAAGAATATGTAAGTGCCAAAGCAAATAATAAATAATAAATAAAATACTAACCAATGCAGAATATGAACGTTTTGCCCCAGATAGTGAATCATATTCACGTGCACGGCCTTCACGATAACTTGGTGGAGGCCTTTCAAACCTCCGTGCATAGCCTTCATCCATATAGGGCCTCCTTGCTGCAGTTCGTGAAGCGCTTCGTGGTGGAACATCGTCAGCATAGCCAGGTCCACGGGAAGGATAGTCATCCCTGTAGGATGACCGCCTCTCAGTAACAACCCTGGAACCATAATCTGCAGCCGCTCTACTTCTTGGAGGAAGCTCTTCACGCCTACCATAATCCCTCTTTGAACTGCTCTTTGGGTAGGAAGGAACTGTTCGGAAAATCATGGCATCAAGATACATTTAAGGGGCCCAGTTGGAGAAACTAAAACAGTGATAGGGTAAGGAAGGGGCATACCAGGAGCTCTTCGAGGGGGAGGAGGCAAGGGCCTAACTCTTGCAGGTGCAGCCATAACAGGACGTCTATCTCTAAATCCTACTGGCCTCTTTAGTCCACGACCACTAACTGGGGGTAGACGTGCCCCAATTCCTCTTGGCCCACGTCCAGATAGGCCACGCAATGGACGACCCCAGGCACCCCTGACAACTCGTGAAGAACCTCGCCCATACCTGGAATCACCACGAAGGGCACGCTTACCTTTACCTTTCCGATGTGGCCTTGATAATCTAGCCCTTACTTTTGCCTGAAACATGTCATATTACCATCAAACAAATGAATAACAAAGAAACTACACCCTATATCATCCTGGTGCAGAAATAAAAGGAACAACGTCTTAAAAACAACAGCTGACCTTATTGTCTCCCTCGCCCAGCTCTGCATTGTTAATGCCTTCAGCACAAGCCACTGCTGCATCATGGGTTCCAAAAGTTACAAAGCCAAAATCCTTTCTCCTGGCCGATGGCATATTACGAGCAAGTTCGATCTTTTCAATCTCTCCAAATTTCTTGAGACATTCCTTTACACGATCTTCATCCCATGAAGCAGGCAAACCATCCACAAACACAGTTTTAACCTGAAGGAAATAGTAACTAATTAAAAACTTCTAACTTCAATTACGAACTCCAACTTTTTGGAACACAACAACACTGAAAATGAGATAGCACCAGGCAGCAGGTAGGCACACAAGCAGCAAGCCACATATATAACCCACTACGCCAAAAACCAGTTAGTGATGTTTAATAACAAGGACAGAGAATGTACCAAAAATGATAAATGAAAATAGTCTGGCTGCTGCATTGGGCAGTTATACAAGAGGAACATAAACCTATCAAGACCTAGTAAATGTAGACTACACAAACTTTCAACACATTAGAAACATGTAAAACATTAAACATGTAACATGTCAAGCATCAGGTTTCACATGCACAATCATAGGAGACAGGCTTTATGTTCTTATATACCAGAAAAGATGCAATCAACTCTGTAGGTTGTTCTCCAACAATTATATGTGCTTGTGCATGTAATGGCCAATGGCTGCATCCATAAGACCTGACATCCAGTAACATCTAATGTACATTTTTTCTACTTTTATTTACATTCATTTTTCAAAGATGAAATTGCTTCTTCATTGAAATTTTGTAAATATGACTGGGAAAACGAAAATGATTTGACATTATTCATTCCTACAAAAAACAGCATTTTCAAGTTACACAGCTTTCCCACTAATATTATAGGTTGTGTAGTGTGAAGATGGTAAAACCATTCCATCTAATCAGGTTTGGAATGGTTCAATCCCAACTACCTAAAGAAGTTTGGATCAATATGTACCTGTGCCATAACCTCGTCATCTGGCTCAATGAAAGAATCGGCAAAAGAAACTCTTGCAGGCCTATCAACTCCAAAAACAACATCCCTCTTCTGCAGGCGCTTATAAGCATCCATGGCATCTGAACGAGAAGAGAACTCCAAAAAGGCAAACCCACGATTCATTCCCTCATTGTTACTGTCTTCAACCAATGTCAAGTCCTCAATATTCTCAACTCCATAAAGCTTTAACTTGTCTTTCAACTGGAACCAAATACACACAACACAGTCAGGAATCTCAATTACCACCAACAGAAAAAAAAAGATCTGGGTATGAAACAGTCCAGATTACTCACAGCTTCCTTAGTCCATGTCTTGCATATGTTGCCGAGGAAAAGGGTATCGCTGTCTTGGCTTGCAGATGCACCACATTGTTTACCATTTACCTGGAATAATGATTTTCACAAAAATTTAATACAACAAAAACTGAAATGCAATACCATTTCAACTTTGTCAGAAGCCAGAAAAAATACCACTGGATTCTTGAGCTCTGTAACAGCTCGTTTTGCTTGCTCTACAGTTGCAAAACGCAAGAATGCAAACCCCTTGTTTTTCTTAGTCTGAGGGTTCATCATAAGCCTGACTTCAGTAACTTCACCTACTTGGCTGAAGACCTTCCGAAGATCATCTTCAGTCGCATCCTTGTCCAAGCCTCCAACAAAAATTTCAAACTCCTTGCGCTTTCGTCTCTCCTTAACAACTTCATGATGTTCTTCCTCCTCTTCATCAAAAATCTCTTCATGCTCCTCCTCTCCATTATCTTCATCCTCTTCACCTTCAGCTCCCTCAGCAATGTCTTCCATTTCCTCCTCAACCATATCACCTTCCTCTTCTTCACCCACATCACCCTCCTCAGCCTCTTCCTCACCTTCATCTCCCTCCTCCTGGACATCCTCGTGTTCATTTTCCTTCTCATCATAATCCACTCCACCATCCTCTTCAGCTTCATATTCTGGCTCATTATCCTCCAGCTCTAATCGCTCAGCTTTGTCATCTTCATCAAAAAGCTCCTTCACATCATGTTCTTCTGTCATGGAAACAGGAAAATACTTATTTCTCGTCCTAAATAGGAAAATACTTATTTCTCGTCCTAAATAGGATCTCCCATATCCATTTAACTTGAATCCTATAAAGGACTAATAATTACCAATTCCAATCCTTTCTAAATGTTCGCAATTAAAACCTCATTAATTAGAGGAGCCCATGAAACGTGCAAGAAAACTCCACTTACAAAGGTGGAAATCCACATACAGCCTTTACATATGCTAATCTAACAGCAAGAAGCATTCCACCATTCATTTGAAATATAACAATGCCTAACAGGCAGATGAACCGGTACGAACATGTACATGATTTGTATACTCTGGTGCCCAATGCGACAATTGCACAGACAAATCAAAGGAACAAAAACCAGTAACGAAAAAAAACGAAGGATAACTTTATACATGATAAGTATATCAACAGATACCTTGCAGCGCAAGGAAACTAAAGAAAAGGGACTTTTTCTAAGATTCTACAAGTGAAAAGAATAAAGAAGAGGATGATAGAGAAGAAACCAAAACTCTGAACAATTAACACATCAACATCAATAAATAAAATGAGATAGCCCCATCACGTGGACAAAAGAAAGACAGAAGGAGAAAGATATGTGTATAAAGACATGCCTTTTATTCTCTTTTTTAAACGTTCGAGGAATTGTGAATGGAAAAAAAATGAGACTCAGAGGCGTCAGATCTGAACTAATTAGAGAGAAAACATAAATTATAAATACAAAACAGAAAAAAAAAAAAGAAACGATCTGAAAAAACCTTACCTTTCGCAGAAACAGGTCCGTTTGTCTCGGGTTTAACTTCAGGTTCAGGATCAACAGTCCTCTCCTCCGGCTTTTCTTCAATAACCCGCTCCACCTTTACCTCTTCCTTAACCTCGACCACAGAAACCGAAACCTCTTCAACCTTCACTGTTTCTTCTGTAACTTCCTGTTGATTCTGGGACTTCGGCGTCCCCTTCGTCGCCCTGGGCGTTCTCTTCGGTCCAGGCGCCGCCGTTCCCTTCTTCACCGCTCGGGGAGGCATTCTCTCAGAGTTTAGAAGCTTGAAATCTCACGAATAACGGGCGGAGAGGGCAAATGAAACAGGGAAAGAAACGAATTATAGACGTAGATAGAATTATCAAAAAACCCTAGAAGGATGCCACCGAACAAAAAAAAAGAAAAAAGAAAAATAAAAAGGATAAATTCAAAGAACACAACAAGGGACCCTAACAGAAACTCCTTCAGGGAAGCAAAACCCTAGAAAGAAGCCCGGAGCTCGATTTGAAACCCTAGCTGTTAAAAGTAGCATCGGACGCGAGATTAATGGAATATAAATAGACGAGCGGAAATGTGATAACGTGGTCCAGATACTATTGTTTTTTTCGGTATTCTCGGGAAACGACTGAAAACGAAGTACTGTTCTTCTCAATCAGAACCGTTCAGCAGATAACCTTGGCTGTGATTAATTCGATGCGAGTTTATTTTTCTGGAAGAGCGTGTGCTTGTGAAGGTTGGAACAGCAATAGCCACGTGGCAAGCTAGTTTGCGCCGACCTCATACATGCATCGTTCGATAGTCCCGTTCTATTAGAATTGGGATCAGCTCCTCACATACGCGCCTCACAACGACTTCACAGTGACATCCCAGCGTGCATTGGGAACATCTTCTCTTAGGGTCCTAGACACTATCAACTTCATCACCGCACATCTCACTATTAAACTGGATCCCACCATAAAAAAGTGAGACCCATCACGTAGGGTGTTGGAACATATTTTTGGGCAGGTGATGTAGACTCCATTCCTTCAACTTTACATGATATCGACCATGCCCAACATGAGTCGGGATCTCCTGCCCACACCTTCCTACCCATGTCACCAATTTTGGACACATGTCCTATAACATGTGCCTCTTCTTCACATGTGTAGAATTGCATATGAAGTAAAGAGGATGTAATGGAACGGACATTAAGTTCATCCCATCAGAATTCAGATTTCACCCTTTAACCCAATTAATATTTTTACCTAAAAAAAATTACTTTCCCCATCCCAACAACTCTAATAGTGTTTCATTCTCTTCATTCATTCTTTACAGCGTACTGTTCCAATAAACTTCATAGGCAACTAGCAATCGGCGACGTGCTCACCGGCATCTTATTCTTTCTGTATTCCATCGATTAACCTTCTTATACTCTCCACAACATCCTGTTCCAAGAGATTCCACTAGCATCTGGCATCCAACAATCGAGGACGTGCTCACCAACATCCTATTCCAAGAGTAACCTCAACCAATACAAGAAAAAATTAAGCATTATTTTCTTTTAGTTCTTCCAACCAGGTTCTTCTCACCGGTAGTTATGCTCTGTTTTATTTGATTCACTTATTTTCTGTTTTCTTTTGGTCAGGCATAGTAATCTCCTCAATTTATTCTCATATTATTTTTCTTCCCATATTGATGGTTTTCTTGTATTATTGCACGATATTCCAAATTTAGGACTTAAAAGCTACGATATGGTCAAGACCCTACAACTAACTGATCCCATAGTTTTGTGGAATTCGATCAAAGAGTTTTTTTATATGGGTTGTCACTACATTTTCCCAATACTTGCTTCCTAATTACTTCAAACATAGCAATTGGGATGCTAGTTATTTCATTTTTGTTGTTAGTTTAGTTGATTATGATTGGATGATTTATGATATTTTCAACTAGTAGTAGTGAACAATTGGAGAAATTTAACCGTTGAGGGGAATTGTAGTCAAATTTTCATCTCTTGGTTGTGTACTTGTGTACAAAAGTAGTGCCTTGGAAATTCAGGTTTATGGTTAGTAGAGCTCAGTTATTGGGGAGAAATCTGAATTGTTCGTTCAGATGGATTCCAAGGAGTGCCCACGAGTTTGATGATGACCTAGCCAAATCAGGGGTATCAAGATAGTGTTTAGTCTAGGACCTGAGAACGCAATGAGTTTTTTTTTTTATGATAACAATAAAAGTAAAATGACTTATGATATTTGTTTAGTTGCTTGAAGATACAATCCACATTGGAATTCATTTTCATTTTCCTCAGCTTGCTAAGGGCATCTTAATGATCCTATGGTCCTATTGGATTACTATTAAGTTAATTTAAGTAATACACTTATTGGTAAAAGGAACTTAATTCTTTATAAAACTTGAGGGAGAGTTGCATATTCTTTAGTTTTACATCAATGGAGAGTTTACATCAAAAACCAACTTCATGCTAAAAGGAAGTAATCAAAATCGAACCACACCAGACGGTCGGACCGGAAAAATCGGGAACCGGTTAGGTAATCAATTATGTTTCCCCCCAAAACTAGATTTTCTTAAAAAAAAACATTGATTTTGATCAACAAACCACTGAACCGGGTGATTAACCGTTTGAACCGTTCGAACCGTTTTGACCTTTTTTTTTGTCAAAACCGTTCGACCCAATAACCAAACCCTTGACTGGTTCGGTCTCTGGGTTGGTTTTAAAAACCATGCCTGGAATAATATCAAGGTCACAACTAGAGGAGCTAGTTATGGTCTTAACAGGGGATGTTAAGCTAGATTAATCACGTTTCAATTTAAAATGAATTTGGCACATGCACATTAAAAAATTCTAATAGTGTATAAATAATGAATTTGGCACATGTACGTCCAAGAAATCTTCCATTATTTCTTTTATTCTGCCATATCAAACTTGATCAATATTTACTTACAAATTACAATGTAGGTGAAGATACTTTAATCTGTGATGACGTAATCTCACAAAGGGTTCATTGTCTCTTTCTTTTATTATAATTAGCTGTAAATTGAAGAGGAATGTGCATCTTTGGGACTTGAGAGGAATGTGCATCAATGCACGACAAGCTAACTTTATGGAAGCAAAAGCAATAGAAACCAAAATTTATGGCATTGGAAGCAAAAGTGGATGGGATACAATGAGCACAAGGACACACTCGAAGAATGACGCTCTTGACTTTGTTATTTTTTTGTGTAACCTTGATGTGTTTAAAGGTTGTCTTGTGTAATGATACTTAACTTGCTCTATAAACCATTATATTTTCAGGTTTTTTTTTGTTATTTTTTAAACCAGAAAATCAACTTTCAAATGGTAATGTGTTTCTCTCTTTTCAGAGTGAGTTTTTTTCCATTTCAAATATTATTTATAAAATAAGATTTGTCTTTCTTCTTAAGTGATGTCTTAACTAGGAAATCAACTCCAATTGGATTAGGACTTTTTGACACCATCCAAACAGACTTTGGAATCTAAATTTCAGGGTTAACAATGAGCAACTTATGTAAAGGGGTCATTTTTGTATTGTATTGTCTTTAATATCATATTGTCCAATGTTGACTTGGGACATACAAAGGGGCCAAATAATGTAAATTGTTTGGTACATAATATAGGAAGGCAAGCTACCCACCCTAAATTGAAATCTTACTAGTAAGGGTGGATTCGAGTTGAGCCGAGCCGAATAGTACTAGGCTCAAGCTCGGCTCGAGCTCGGCTCAAGTCAAAAGTTCATAAGCTCGAATTCGGCTCGGCTCGGCTCATTTTATATTTTATAAAAATATTTTATTATAAAAATAAAAATTACATATAGAATTTTTTTTATTTTATATTTAAAAAATTAATAATTATAATATTTTTATTATATATATTAAATATCAAATATATATATATATTCAAGCCGGCTCGTGAGCCTCACGAATCGAGCTCAAGCAGCTCATGAAAAGCTCGGCTCGTTGCCACCCCTACTTACTATAATAGATTGGAGCGTATTAGGCCTAGTAAATCAAAACTTCTATTTGGATTAGTTTCTCCTTCTAAGTAAAAGATTAAAAATTGGTGAGCATAGAGATGAATAACCATTGTAATAGAACCGATTGCTGAGTCAATCAATGCAACTAAGGGCCAAGGGCCAATGTGATAATGAATGAATTGAATAACAATTGATTTATCTTTCTAGTAAATATGTCATTAAGTTTATTGTTTATTGTAAATTCCTTAATTGCTAAATGGCATAGTGGGTTGATCACTAAATTATAAATAATACTTTATTACATGCCTATGAATAAATTAGGCATTTAATCTATACTAAATTTCCATCCATGAACTCTAAAATTTGTTCCATGAACTCTAAAATTTGTTCCATGATTGGCTATGAAGACAAAATCCAAAGTCCAAGCATACCTGAAAACAAAAATGAAATTAGATAAGAAAATAGAAACAAGCTAAAGGTCAAGCTATAGGATCATTAAAAATGAGAAAGAGAAAACCCCACCCTCCCTAATTGATACAATTCAACAAAGGCATATAAGTTAAATTCATCAAGCTAGTTATATCAATGCAATTGAGCGCGATCCGGGCACTCCTAGTTGGCTAGAACCTGGCTCATAGCTGTGACTAACGGCACCTGAGACGAAAAGGAACGTGAAGAATTCCCGGGTAGCTCTCCCGACGGGAAGGCTCCGATGCTTAAGTTAGAATTCTGAGAAGACTCAAAGAAAATGTAGAGAGAAAACTAAGAGTGCTGATTGCGTTAGCTTCAATACCTCTTCTCCTCGAGGGTCCGGAGTCTTCTTATATTGAAGATCTCTCAAATCAGGTGTAACCGACTCTGCCACAGCCGTTACTGCTAGAGCCGAGGTGGCAGATGTGGGCAGCCGTTGCAGGGTACAGACCTGTCAGGCGTACCACATCTGGCAGAAGTGGCAGGCACGCCGCCGCCTGACAAGAGACGTGGGCACAGCCTCCGGATTCGGCAGGTACTATTGTCAGGCAGATCTTTTCTGTAGGTTGCCGAGCTACTTTGCATTGAGCTGCCTTGGTCCGAGCTACCCTACACCGGGGTGCCGGGGTAGCCAAGGTGCGAGTGCTCGAGTCGAGCCTTAGGCAAATATGGGCAGGAGCGTTAATGGGACTATCCTGAAGTGTCCCCACTTCGGGGTACTTCCCGTAGACCGGGGTGTTCCCTTTTCAAGAAGGAAGAGTTCGGGTCTCGGGAGGAGCTCGGAAGTCCTCCTCCCTTAGGGAGAATTCTGAGTATGCTAGATCTTTCTTCTCGGCAAGCTGCTACGTCCGCCGAGCTGCATTGCTGGGCTCTGGCGAGTTCAATACACCGAGTTATGGCCAGACTGCCATGCTGACCTGTCACTTATGCCAGGTTGTACCCACATGTCCCCATGCTACGGGGTCGGGCCAAATCACCCTCCATCAATCATCAAACAACAATAAATAATATTCAAATAAATACTTATTTTTCAATCTAATTATTGGCACATTAAAAAAGTTCATGCGCCAAGATTACTCCAAAATATGATTACAATTTACCATTTTGTATATGTCTTTCTCTTGAATCTTCAGGCTAGACAATGGAGTAACCTAGGTCTATACTCCGATGAGTCATAAATCCTACCAACTAATCTATCTTACGTTACTCAAGATGTTTGATAACTCAACATAGCATGTGAAGTCATGTGCAACTTTAAATATTATAAAATACCAAAACTACCCTTCTCGTGTATTGTCACCTTGCTTTCTTTTTCTTTGGTGATGGCAATGTTGGATCTTCTTCCATGGCGGTAGCATTTCTTAGGACCTTGGTTCTATGTATTAGAATGGAAGCCAAGAAGGCATGAACATCTAACTACTCAAACCATAGTTTTGCATAAGCCAACTCCTATGGCATCGTACGTTTCTTCCTCTACTCAATACTCAATAGTTCTACATAAAATAGCCTCTAGAATACAACTTTGCACTCAAAAAATCAGCCTAAGAAAGGCTAACTTGAATCACAAAAACATGTTCATCACTGCTAAAAAGATAAAAATATAGAAAGGCATAAATTGGGCAGTACTTGGTTTGGGTAGCAACCACAACACTATTTATCATTATGATTATTGGAAACAAACTAAAGAGGGTTGAGCTCAACCAAAAGCACTCACTGGCGACAATGACAAGGGTTGAATTCAATGAAAGGGTTCTGCCGACAGAGTAAAATCATCGCCGGAAAATGCAACACCATTGAAATCCCTAGTTTGTCCATTACACATATCCTGGTCCAACAATCAACATGCCCTAGTCTACCAAACCGATGTCAACTGTCCCGATCAATACAACTGCTGAACAATCACATTTTATGCCATCATAGGATAGCCAAATTAACTCACCTTCAATTATGCGACCATATCTTCTTCTAACTTCCATCCACCATCCCTCTCTCCTCATCGTCTATGCATAGGATCCATATTCTTAACCTTTGTCAACTTGGAGCTTATCTACCCAAACATCACATGCTTCAAATCAATGGAACTTTTGCAGTTATTTCCATCTACAATCCACATGGACAACAAACCCACTTCTACTTTTGTGCCCTCTATGTGGCATCCAACACCATCATTTGGTAAACCAATCATGCCTCCATCATTGATTCTGATATACTAAACCTAGTTGCCAATGATCTAAGCATTGTTAGAGATGATGGCACTCAAAACTAGTAACACCCTCACTCAAGTCTAAATCACAACATTCGTTACAACCTCCAGAGATTGGAAACCTCGTTTTACTTTATCAATCGAAAAACTCTTATTGGCAGAGTTTTGATTATCCAACTAATAACTGAAACGATAGTCATCAGTTGGCAAATCACAGTCCAACCAACATTGGATGATGACTTATCAACAACATATTACCGCTAGCTTCCATGTTGATACATAAAATTAAGGTCTAGATAAACTCTATTGCCATGGAAGAAGATCTATCATTGCCATCGCCGAAGAAGAAGAAAGCAAGGTGAAAATACATGACAAGGGTAGTTTCGGTATTTTATAATATTTAAAGTTGCATGTGAATTCATATGCAATATATAAATGATAGAATACTGACAGATGGACCTAGGTGTTTATTTCTGAGTGGTAAAATACTCAAATATCGCAATTAAAAGTTCTGAGTACCTAGGTGTCAATTGACCGGTTTTGATTTGGATCCAATTTGATTCAAACCTTATCAAATCTGATTTGGATGGTCCATTATAATTATTGGATTGGGCTAATCCAAAATAAATTGGTCCATATTTTTATTGGTTTGAATTGAACCTAAACCAAAATTCTAATAATCTGATCATGAGGCCAAACCCTTGTTCAATTTGAAATCAATCAAAATTAAAGCCATCATAAAATCACTTTTACGAAAGCATTTTTATAAAAGTAATTTTATGAAAAGTATATTTACGAGAGCACTTTTAACAAAATACTTTTACAAAAGTACTTTTGTGAGAGCACTTTTACAAAAGTATTTTTTATAAAATCATTTATACAAAAGCACTTTAATAAAATCACTTTTATGAAAGCACTTTTACACGAAAGCACTTTTATAAAAAAACTTTTATGCAAGTACTTTTACGAAAACACTTTTATAAAAAACACTTTTATGAAAGAACTTTTACGAAAGCACTTTTATAAAAGTACTTTTATAAAATCACTTATACAAAAATACTTTTATAAATGCACTTTTGTGAAAGTATTTTTACAAAAGCACTTTTACGAAAGCACTTTTATAGAAGTGCTTTTTTAATCAAAATACTTTTCAAAAGTACTTTTTTAATACCAAGAGTGTTTTTATATAATTTTTGATATTTCATTTGGTTTGGATCAGATGGAATGCATTTACATTTTAACGGATTGGATTAGATATGATTTGTATTGAATTTGAACTGAATTGGATCCGGTCCATTTGTAAGTGAATTCATATTGCACTGGATTGGATTGGACCAAATCTAGTCCAATTTACCTATCTGTAATTTACCGTTTTTCTTCTCCTATTACCTTTCACGTTTCACCCCAATGGTAGAGGTAGAGTTCAGCTTCTGTACATGTTCAAATGAAGGAAGGAGGTATAACCATTGATCCATCCCAGAGCGAAATAAGACAGAACAAGAAAATAATCAAGACGAAGGGATACGACATACGAGAAGGGGCAATTCCTGATCAAACTTGATCCGATGATTCCTCAAGGTTCCATTCTTACCTGAGGATGGAGATGGACGCCTTGACCTGTGAGAGACTCTCTAAATTCTAAAACATATTACAGTTTACCAAAGAGGCATCTCCTTTTATGGCAAATTTCTTTCAGCAATCCGTTTTTACTCGTTGGCATTTTTTATTCAATTCTTTAGATTCTTATTTCTGAGTTTTGTTTTGTCCAGTTTCCTTTCACCGTTTCTATCCATTGAGGCCTTACTTTCGGCAAGCTGAAAACGGCAAAGGTATAGATAGGTAAAATTGGATTTTTATGAAGTTTGACTTGCACACAAAATAGGAAGGTGTTTGTCCGATGATATCATCAGTTCATCGTCAAAATCGAAGTCGCCGTCAACCTTCGAACAACAGTAGTAACCTTCTCTACTGCCCAGAGATCACGGACGAAGTTTCGGTCAGCTCTACCGTTGGAAGGTATGTTGGCGAATGCTTGAAGGGTTTATGATACAATTGCTGCAAGCAAAACAAGTAGAGCCCTGATTCACAGCGTTTCATCCTACCTCGGAAAGCCAGAAGCCGCATTCTTTCTCTCTCTAAAACTTCCGCTCTTTCTCCCTAAACTCTCTCCTTCTATTAACTTCTCTGCTGCCGTCCGGGAGAGGATTTATAGAAGTTGAAGCGATTACAGAGAGACTGTTCAGAGCTCTCTTTTGTATTTGTTTCATTGCTTCCATGGTTTTTGTTTTTCGAATTTAATAGAAAGAGTGTTGGTTTGAGGTTATTTCGTCTGATTGTTGACTGGAGACGTTGAACCGACTGGGAAACTTTCAGTTTTGGAGTGAAAATTCTGTAGAGGATTGGAAGTTGGGGTCTGAGTTTGGTGGAATGGAGCTCGAATCTGCTTCTCAGAGTCGGGAATCAATTTTGGTGGGTTTAGTTTCTTCGCGTGTTTGTTGAATTTCAACTTGAATGTGGGCTGTCATGTCGGTTGGTATTTTAGGGTTTTGGATTCCTTTGGACTATCGATTTTGATGTTTGATGCGTTGTAGTTATTCGGTTTCGAAGTATAAAGGAATTAATCTATATTTCTTCTAAATATATACTAAAATTCAGTTTTCTGTGTTTCTGTTGAGTATATTAGAATTTAGAGTAATGCCACTGTTACTGGATGAACATTCCTTAATTTTAAGTGGTTTTCATTAAAGATTTGATTTGCTTTTCCTGTTATTGATGCTCTGTTGGTTGCTAGTGTAAAAAGAATTGATGCTTTGGTATTCTTTAGGTTCTAAGTTTTTTTTTCTTCTTTCACTCTTTGCAGCAAGGAACTTAAGTTATTGATCCCTCTTGCATGTTTGGTTTTGGACTTAATCTTTTTGTTTTATTGTTTCTGTTTTTTTTTTTTTTTTCAAATGGTTTTCATTGATTTTTTTTTTCCTTTTGAATTGTATGTTTTATGCATGATGTTTTGGAGGAGGATTACTCAGTTGGTTGATTTTACTGAATTACTTGGTGGTTTTTATGCAGTTTGATCTTTTTGCAGTTTCTTTGCAGGGGCTACGTCTGTAGAATTTATATTTTTGTTCTTTTTCATTGATTTTGGGTTTGTTTCCTTACTTGCTTACATTTTGCTTGTTTCCTTCACACTGTATTAAAATCTTCTAAACTCAGGATCACAAATTGATTTTTAAGGATTTTCACCAAGCCTTTTTATTCTTTTTAGCTATTATTAGTTTTGAATTATTTTTCATTTTTGGAAAAATGGCATTGTCTAATTTCAAAATTATTATTATAATTTATTATATTTAGCCCTTTCCTCATCTTTTCTGTGTTTACTATTAAATTCATTCCTGCCATTCTCCCATCTATGTCTGCAAAAGCACTTTCTCAGGGAGGTTGCACCTTCATGAAGATGATGATGAAATTTTGGGGGGTACTCTCTTTAGTTTTCTGGACTTCGACTCTGATCCCTCTTTACAAGTACATTATATTATTAGGGTAAGATTCGATTTGTAGTAGTGCACTTGTGAGAGCTTATTCGAGAGTATGCCTTGTTGATGGAGCTCGTAGGGTGTTCAATGGGGTGCCCAAACCAGATTTGGTTATGTGGAATTCAATAGTTTCAGGTTATGGGTCTTCAGGATGCTGGGATAAGGGCTTGGAATTGTTTAGCAGAATGCAGGAAATAGGATAAGGCCAGATGGGGGTATACCATGTATAGATATCTCTTAGGTTTATGGGAACCCAACATGCCTCAAGTTTGGAAGGGGTTTCATGGTCTTTGTTTGAAAAATGGATTTGAGTCATACACGCACGTGGGAAGCATTGTTTTGAAATGCTTAAGCCTTGAGGCGAGGTACACAGATTTTGCCTCAAGGCTTAAGCCTCACAACTTTGATGTAAGGTTTAAGCCTTTGTCAGGATAAGGTGTAAACTTCAAGTACCAGTGATTATTTAGCGATTTAATGCAAAAAAAAAAGTGATGCATATTTTAGTTCAAAATACATGTAATAAGGACTTCAATAATTATGAGCCAAAAAAATAAAAAGTGAAAATGAAAAACCAATTGGGGAAATCAACTTCTATTAGTTTCTCTTAGTGTTTTAAGAGAGTTCAATGCAAAATGGGCCAATCAAGTTCTTAGTTTCTCTTGGATATATCAAGTGCTTTTTCTTATTATTCTAATTCTAACACCCTGGGTTTGTTTTTTTCTCATTTCTTTTCCTAATGGATTTATTTTCTTCTAAACTATTGAATAACCATATATCTAATATCCAATTATATGGATGATTCTTCGTATGTTTCCTTTCTTCCAAATTGGTCATTTGAATTATTTGAGAACTTTGCATTTTTAAACATGAAATGTGAAATGTTTATAATCATTAGCTGATTTGTTATCATTTTATTTAATGCTTAACTGCTGAAATTTATTGCTTATAAACTTTTCTTTTATGGATATTTATATACCTTTTATCATTCTAACTTTAGTTTATTATATAGTATTTTCAATTTATAAACTTTAATTAATTTTATTCTTAAGCTTTGTGGCTTATGCCTTCAACGCCTTGAGACGTATGCCTCACCTTTTTAGGCCATTACGCCTCAACTATGCCTCTAGCCTTTTAAAACCTTGGTGGGAAGTGCACTTGCGACTATGTATTCAAGGTGTGGTTGCTTGAGTTTTGCTTATAGAGCTTTTAATAATTGATCTCAGCCTGATTTGGTTCAATTGTCTGCTCTGATAACTGGGTTCATTCAATCTGGAGCTTGCGAAGAAGCCATGTTCTTGTTCAGGGAAATGAATCTCAAGGGTCAAAAAGCAGATGCTATTTCAATTGCTTATAGAAGCTGTTGTCTAAAAACTAAGGCAGCATTTGGTACTGTATCAAAGGAAGGTTTCTGGTGTTCCTGGGTACTGGAAACATTCCCATGGAGTGTTACCAAATGGTTCCTAATATACCTTAATTTTGCATCTCCTATGTAAGGATTTTGAAGGCCCCTTCACTAAATGAGGAGTTACTCTTCGATGGTCTGAACAGTCTAACATATTTTATGCAGCTAATCCAATATGTTTTCAAGACTTACAAGTTTCATCTGTTGTCCCATGTTATTTGGAGTTGATATTTGAGATAATTGTCTTTCGCTACTTTTATATGTATGTACATAAAGATTGGAAAAGAGAGAATTCAATTCATTTTAGGTCCTGGTGATGCCGATTCAGAAAATACATTATATAAGTCAACTGGTTCAGAATGCTAATTGGACAATAATAATATTGTAGTATTAGGTGTAAATCAGTGTGATAAAAAATCAGATATTTATGTTTGATCATTCAAACAGTAAAGGCAAGTGAAAATTTCCAGCATAAAGGACATTTATGCTAAGTTTCCGTCCATCTCCTCTCCTCTGTATAGTGAAGTCCATTATCAGATAATCTTGGTGTTCAGATAGTATTCGGAAAGTATAAGAACCATTCCTGAAAGATACTGCCAATATTCAATTTCCATTTATGATCCCTTATTCAGTGTCCTTTCTGTGGAGTTGTTCTTTAGAAGCCCATATTTCTTGTTATTAGTTTCAAAAGTTAAACCATTTGATGTTATGCAGGTTTCATCTTCAGCATGGAGATTTATCCAAGGATCTCATTTCAAAACTTCTTAAGTTCTCCTTGAAGATTCATGTATAACGAAATGGCAAAACAGGATTCATGTAGCTGAGCTCAGATGATGTGATGGATTCTCCTTGAGGACTGCAACACAAGGTGACTGTCATCTTAAAGCTCAGTGTATCCATAACACCTGCATAATATTGGAAATAAGTCAATATCTAGTCCTAATCATTTATTTATATGATTCTCTTCATGGAGTCTTGATTTTATATGATGTTGATACTACTCTAGATGTCTAGAAACATTATACAAGATGGATGCAAATTACTTCCTTTCTGATAGCTCTCTTTTTCTGAAACATTTTTTCTTCAAACATAATTTCTTCTAGTTAATTTATTTAGATGGAACAGGTTTTATAGGAATAAGGATTAAGGACATCCTGGATAGACCTCAAGGTGTGATGTGGTATAATCGTTCAAACAGGAACATGTTTTATAGAAATAAGGATTAAGCACATCTTAGGCATGATGACTTTTAACTGTACTGTTTTTATGTAAATACAAATATGTTCAATACAAAACCTTGTATATGGTATTTCTAAACCTTGTATTTGCACTGTATGTATTTGTATTTGTACTCTTCCCATATTGAGCCTAAATGGCTGATTTGTAATTGGTTTAGTCATACTACCCAAGTCTTTTTATAATGATTTTAGATGACTTAAGATGTCTAGTAATATTTTCAAGGAGGTTCTAGTACTAAAGATGAATATTAGCAAGAGTGAGATTTTGGAGGCAAGGGTTGCTCATAACTTAGAGGGCTTCAGCCAAAGACCTTTGTATACCTTTTATAATTTCCTTTTAATTAATTTTAAATACGTGCTAATTGCTTCCTTTAAAATTTCTTTTATCTTTTTTTCCTATTCATATTTTTTTTGTTACTGATGTGAGGCCCACATGGCTGATTTGTGTTTTGTTGGTGCGGGTCTTGCATTTTCCACTACACATATATATCATTATGCTATTATTTTGGTTGATGAAAAGAAGGGATGGGAATGGAATTTGCAACCAAACAAGTTCAAAATTATGCTATTATTATTTTGATTAATGAAAAAAAAGATTGAGAATGAAATTTGTAACCAAATGGGTTAAAATTTACTCTTATTCTTGCTACAAAAAGAATTCATTTTTTAGGTAAAAAGCATTTGGTTCTTAGCAATATTTTCTCATTCTGCTCATTTTTACTCATTCTTTTCCATCTTGAATTTCATCTTGGGTAAGAATGAGAAAGAATGAGAGTTTCGGGGGTTTCCATGACAGACAATGGAATAGAGATTATCGATTATTTTAGAGTTTTAGGTGGGATGGGTTGAACAAGAAACCCTAATGCAGTTTGTAAGTGTAAAATTGTCATGAGTTCGACGACAATGACCAGCAAGAAACTGCAATAACAAGTCTCACCAGCAAAAGGTACATCTCTCCTATGTTTTCATTATTTTCCTGCTATATAGTTGGTGAATGCCAGTTTGCTGATTGGTTAGTTCACTGATTTGCCGACTCATTAGAAGTTTTCCCATGGATCAGCTTGCGCTTAAATGAACCCAAATTCGGTACAACTCAATTTTTTTTTTCTAGTTAATTTGTGTAACCTTTTTTAAGATTGATTACACCTAACTTCTCCAGTCTCCCCCCAATTACCATCAAATGACAGCGAGTGGGTTTCATTTTCTTAATAAAATTTTTATTTGTAATGAAAAATTTATCTCGTTTTTTGTTGAATAATTGCTGCTATGTCTTGTTATTATCAGCTATTATTTTCTATACTGTTATTTTGTATTGAGACATACCATGGGCAACTGTTCGTTTTTGTTAGTCAATCGAGAATGGTTGTGTATGTGTGGAAGAGCAGTAATGGGTCCAGCTATCTTTTATTCTAATTCCTTGTAATGGGGTGTATTTTTCCTTCTTATATTAGTACAACTTCCTTGGGTGCTGTTTCTGATCATAAAAAATAGTTAAAGGGCTGGTTTGCTAAACAACATGCTTAGAGAGTTAAAGGTCAAAACAGCAATGGCTTAAATCATACTGGTAACATAAGAAAGTCAGATATAGAATTGCAGGCTAATAACCATTATTAGAAGCAACATGGTTTGGGTTGACTATGGTGGGTAATTTATGCTTGAACAAGCTTTATAGGTTTGGAATGGGATTACTGATGTTTGATCTGTAATCCAATATCCTTTTGACTTTACTCAAAAAGTCAACAAATTATGAATGGCAAAACCTTCTAGAATGAGGACTCTGATTGCTGTTTTAGGGGCCTTCGTATTTACTCTGGTTCTATCTCAACAAATATTTACTTTACATTTTTCAAAAAAAAAAAACCCTTATAGAATGAGGATTTCAGCTTTGTGGGAACTGATCAAATTTTAAACTTGAACACATTTTCATATCGGACAGGATTCATGTAGTCAACCCCATACAGTTGGGACAAGGCTTAGATGATGATGATTCATGAATTTTTGGAATCCAAACTTGGTGTTTTATTTCTGTCAAATTCATGAATTTTTTAGAGATATATTAAGTTCAAAGTAGTAGTAGGATTTTGTAATTATAAAATGCGAGCATGCTCATCGTGCCCAGAACCGGGTAGTTATATTCTGTCTTGGTTGGTAAAAATACTCAACCCTAACTACTCAATGGCTGTGAACTATCTGATATGGTTATTCAACCTCTAGGTCCAGATCACTGTGATGCATTGAAGTCTTTTGTGAATTAATGAGTTTTTCCTTTGGAAAAACTCTGAAATCCAAGGGGCTATTTGGCAAGTCTTTCTAGGTAGATCTTTTAAAAGCCCAGTAGACAAGAAGACACTGAGCTTTTCGGGTCTTCTCTTTAAAGATCAAGACTGTTTGGTTCGCATCATGGTCTACTGGGCTGTTAAAAACAGTTGGAAAGACTATTTTCAGCGTGAAAGACCAAAAGCTTTATTTCTGTGCGGTCGCCTTTGTGTCTTTTGGTCTATGCGATACCAAATGGAAAAGGCCATTTTGGTCTTTTGAGCTTCCTGAAGACCGAAAGATGTGCCAAACACCACCCAAGTTATTTTAGGTTAATTTTGTTGGTCATGAATAAAAAATAGGCATGTTGATTTCTGTAATTACTATTCACAATAAAAGATATGTTAACATTAAGGGAAATAGAGAAGGATCTTTTAGTTTCAACTCCTGATCTCAATCTCTTGCTTTTCAGTCTCAGCCCCCATCTCTTAATCTTTTCTTTTTTGAGCAAGGGTAAAGACGTATAGTATAATTGGATTAACCAAAAGGTCCTTCGTACAATGTAAAGCTGTACAAAAAACTGTTCAGAAGGACCTCAAAAAAGTACAATCAGATGTATCTTCTTTGAAATATGTATGTATAGACAACCAACTTCTAACAAACCCTATTGCCATGTTGATGACCTCAGCTTCAGAGGAGGCTGTGTTAAAAAATCCTACTGTTCCTTTCTAGCCACACAGCCCAAAAAATTGCCAAAGGAATGGAGGACCAGCAGACTTTTCCTTTCTTTGTCAGCCCGGGTACATGCCATACCTCCAAGCAAGCTTTCACCGAGGCAGGTATGTGCCAACTTAAATTCAGGATCTTCAAAAAGTAGCTCCAAATTTCTGAGACAAACTTGCAGTGTAAAAGATATGATTAACTGATTCCAGCTCCACACTGCAAAGGCTGCATCTCAGGTTATTGCAGATAAAGCCTCTCTTCTGCAACATTTCTTTGGAAAGGCATTTCTCTAAAGCTGCCACCCATACAAAAAACTTAACTTTTGAGGGTGCCACTATCTCCCAAATGCCCTGTCTAGGAAAAGGGACTTCATTCTCTCCCACTATAAAGCTGTAAAAGGATTTTTTTTTTTTTTTTGAGAAAAGTTAACCAAGATTCATTAATAAAAAAAGAGGTACATGAGAAGATGTACAAAGCAGTGGAAGAACCCCTACAAATTACAAAGGAGGAGGCTTGTCGCTATATAGCTGCTCTAAGAACACACCACATTTAGCTAAGCCATTTGCTGTATGATTGTATTCCCTAGGAATCCAAACTAACTTTACATTTAGGCAGTCCAAAGAGTTCCTGGCCTCTTCTAAATAGTGACTTAATCTCCAAGGTCCCCCCCCCCCCCTTTGTCTCTTAACCATTTTATAGTATTTGCTGAATCACCTGCAATGGTTATATTTTGAATTCCCTAACTTTTTATTATTCTGCCTGTGAGGGCAGCCATTACTTCAGCCTTTGTGGAATCTGCCACGTCAATTGGACCGCTGAAACATTTGGTTGTTTAACTTTCTTTGTGTCCCTGGAAAGAGAACCCACAGAGGGTACAACAGAACAGAAGATCAGGCTGGCTTCTGACCCAAAATATTTTCTTCCTAAGCTGTAAAAGGATTTAACTGAGAACTCTCATGACTTGTTCCACTGATGGTTTAAAGTATCGATACGATACGCCCCGTATCGTATCTTTTGAAAACGTTATGCTCTGAAATGCCTGTTTCCAGGTGTTTCGGAACCCCAACCATTTTTAATAAAAAGCCTGCTTTTTAGCTTCCCAAAAAACCAAATTTTGAAAAAAAAGAGTTTTGGGCATTTCTAAGTATCGATACGCGTGTCGTATCGATACTTTGAACCTTGCTTCCACTTCCACACTCTTGTATTCCTGTGCTTGCAAATTTAAAGCCTGATTTTGGAAAAGAGCTAAGAGATTCCCTACCTGCTGAACCTCCCAATCATTAAAGTCCCTTCTAAAAGGAGTCCAGCAAATGCTATTATCCATCAGCACAAAAGATTCAGCTACCAGTACCTCTTTATCAATTGCCATATTGAACAAAGCAGGAAACAGCTCTTTGAGAGTGCTCTCCCCAGTCCAAGGATCTAACCAGAATCTGATCCTTCTGCCATCTCCTATTTTAAATCTGACGCATCTTCTGAAAAGGGTGGAACCCCTACAAATTCCTTTCTACAAGCTGCACCCATAGGTCGAAGGGAGTGAACCACTATCCCAACCATTGCTGTCTAGCCCATATTTCTCAGATATTACCTTCTTCCATAGGTAATCTGGCTCAGTAGCAAACCTCCAAAGCCAACTACCTAATAAAGCTAAGTTGAAGGACTTTGAATTCCTTATCCCAGACCCCCTTGTGATTGGGGTTTGCAAATCTGGCCCCAATTCACAAGGTGATACTTGTGGTGTTTTCAACCCAACCAAAGTAAATCTCTCATCTTCTTTTCTAAATTCTCCACTACCTCTGAGAAGATCGGAAAGAGAGCCATAAAATAAGTTGGAAGGCTTGCTAAAACACTTTTAATAAGAGTCACCTTCCTATCTTTGGAGAAATACCTTGCTTTCCATGTGGCCAATTTTTGATCCATCCTCTCTAAGATTGGATTCTAGATGGCTTTTGATGTACATTTGGCCCCAAGTGGCAGCCCCAAATAGTTTGTGGTAGCGGTGCAAATGGATCGGATCATGATCCGACCAGATCCTATATTATCTGATTCAGATATCCTTGTTTTGGATTTCTGGATCAGATCGGATAATCAGATCCGATTAAAAATCGGATTGGATTCGAATCACCCCTATCCGATCCAATATTTATTATGTATTTATTTATTTATATATAATATATATGTATATATGTTATTTATTTATTTATAAATATGCTATTTATATTGCATTTTTGTAAATTTTTTATATTGTTTATTTTTTTTATAAAAACATGTATATATATTGATGAAAATTGTTGAAAAAATACTTGTATTTTTTGTTTTTATTTATTTAAACAATTATGTTTTATTTTCTTTTTAATAATTTAAGTTTTTTTTTAAATAATTCGGATATCCGGCCTCTTGATCGGATTCAAATTCAAATAAGTATTTATGAGATCCATTCGGATCAGATCAGACCTATAATTAGGATCGGATTTGAATATACCTTGATTCAAATGTACATCAAATGAAACTTTATTTGGGGCTGCTGGCTGCCGCTTTGCTGTGGGAGAGCCAATGTTTGGAACCTCTCCCTGATTCTAATCAGCCAAACTTTGATTACAAAACCAATTCTAATCAAATGAAACTTTTCTTTTCACTTATAAAAAGCTTTTCTTTTCTTGTTTCATCTTTTAGGTGATTTCTTATTGTGTTTTCTTGTATCTCCCTTTTCTTTTAATGGACTTTTTGTACAATTCCATTGGGTTTTCCCAAATAACTTGTGATATTGTTATTGTTTAGGTGTTGCTATTGGATTGACCAAGGTTCAAAGTATTAATACACCTGATACTGATGAAAATGCATATTGGGTGTTTCAGGTGAGTCAAATGCCATTTTTTTTATTATCTTTTGTTTTCATATTTTCAAAGGGGGTTATAATTTCTATTATTAAACATTTAAACAAACCAGAATTCCCAAAAGCCTTAAAACAAGCGTTTCAGGGACTTGCCGATATGATACTATACACTCGATACAAGGCGTATTGCATTGAAATTTTGAACCTTGGGATTGGCATTTGTGGGCTCTAAGCCTCTAACCCAATAAGCTTTCTTTTCTTTTCTTGTTTCATTGACATATATTGTGGAAGATTAAATGTTTTTAACGCCTTTGTTATTATTATTATAACTATTTAATTGTCATTACAACTATTTACTAATAGTTTTTGTAAATACTTGGTGCATATTTAAATGATTACTATTTTTGTAAATATTAGGTAAGACAAACATTCATGTCCAAATGTCAATTGGATTATCCATACTCCTTGTTGCTATGGCAATTAAGTGCCTCAAAGATAAAAATTAAAATTTTGGAAGTGAAAAGTGAGGATTTCCCATAAATTTGTGGCACAATAAACTTGTTTCTCTCTGCTTTCTCATTTATGAAGAGAGGAAAGGAGAAAGGCCCATTTTTCCTAAAAGAAAACTATTTACATAAAACCTACACAAGTTAATAGCAAAACAAGAGTGAATACCCCCAAAGGCAGCCTACAGAAGGGGGCAAAAAAGAACTTGCAAGAGCATTATTACTAGTTAACTGAATTTTGGATAAGGGATAGGATTTTCTGACTTAGTTATGTTCTTGAGAGGTTGGTAGATGTTTCAGAATCCCATCACTATAGAAGCCTGAAGCCCTTTCATTTTATTGGTTTGGCTGCATATAGCATAGTGTCTTTGTTAAAGTTAAAGCCTCATATCCTTCTGGTTTTACATTTGAATTTTCTGGTTAATTTATTTTTGTTCTTGAAACAGATGAGGATGAAAAATGTGCACACCAGCAAATTAGACAGAGTACATACTCTAAAATTCAATGACAAGAAAATTTTGTAGGAGGCTTACATTATCATATATGGGTTAAAGATATTAAGGAGTACAGGTTCGGGTTGTGATCTTTACCTGAGTCCTAGGATGTTCTCAAGTTATTACTTCTTTGGCACTGGATTATCTAAGTGAAATTAAATATATTCTTTTTTGTATGCATATTTTCAATAAGTTATCTCAATGGCATCATCTATGAGAAGAGTGGTCTTTGGACCTTTCTCTTTCAGAAAAAGCTCTCAATTTGGAATTTATGCTGCTTCAGTTATTTGGCAAGCTGGCATAAGATCAATTTACATGGGAGAAGACATCCATAATTCTTTGGGGACAAGGTTATCACATATATTCCATAAATCATATAGGCATCAATGCTCTAGATATTTTTCTTCTGCCATTCAGCCAGGAAAGATTTGTTGGGAAGCTTCCTCCCATGAAATTTTACTGCAAAAGCTTGAAAATGCTTTAAAAGATCAACAAATGGGTGAAGCATTGGATGCATTTAATGATTTTAGAAACTTATATGGTTTTCCTAAACACTCTCTTGTGAGGAGGTTGATAACTGAGCTTTCCTATTCATCTGATTCCCACTGGCTTCGAAAAGCATATGATCTAGTCCTCCTGATTTCAAAAGAGAAATCCACTTTTCTTAATCATGATTGCTTGACGTTGCTGGCTCTCTCCCTAGCAAGAGCTCAAATGCCTATTCCTGCATCCACGGTCCTCAGATTGATGATGGAAAAACACAAATTCCTACAGAAGGATATATTACGGATGGTCTTTATTCATATGGTCAAGACAGAAATTGGGACATACCTTGCATCTGATATCTTGGTTGAGATATGTGATTTTCTCCTGAATCATATGGCATATCGCAGAGAAAAAAGTTTCAAGGGTAAGTTGATAAATCCTGATACAATGATTTTCAACCTTGTTTTGGATGCATGTGTAAGGTTCAAATCAACCTTGAAGGCTCAACAAATAGTAGAGTTGTTGGCACAGGTAGGTGTTGTAGCTGATGCAAACTCAATTGTGATAATTTCCCGGATCCATGAGATCAATGGACAGAGGGATGAGTTGAAAAAATTTAAAGAGCACATTGATGTGGTTTCAGCTCCTTTTCTTCGCCATTATCGGCAGTTCTATGATAGTCTATTGAACTTGCATTTCAAATTTAATGACATTGATTCTGCTTCTAGGCTTGTTTTGGACATGTATCATGAAAGGTCTTGCTGTTGCTCTGATGGGCTTTTTCCAAGAGATAGGAAGGACTCTCAAAATCCTCGCTTGGTTCCAGTTGGATCTGGCAATCTGAGAGCAGGATTGAGAATGTGTATTGAGCCTGAGCTGTTGCAGAAAGACTTTGTTCTTGAAATGGAAAACCGACCAGAACTTGTTTTATTCATGAATGGGAAATTTGTTCTTAGTAACAAGGCCCTTGCCAAACTCATAGTTGGCAATAAGAGAGATGGAAAGGTTGGTGAAATTTCAAAGCTTTTAATTAGCATTCAAAAGATGTCAGGTTCATTAGAAGTGGACTTGATATCAGATGTGATAAATGCTTGCATTCAGTTGTGCTGGCTGGAAATTGCTCATGACATTTTGGATGATATGGAATCAGCAGGTATGGCAATAGGCTCAGCTACACATGTTTTTCTTCTTAGAGCCTATTGCAAAGAAAATATGTTCAAAGAAGCAATGGTAGTGCTAAAACAAATGAGGAAGGCTGGTCTGCTTGTTGATTTGTCTGATGAAGAGGTTATCTCCTCGTGTCTTTTAGAAGAAGGTAAGATTGGTGCTCTTGATATGAAATCTGAAACATCAGTTGGAAAATTGGGTTTGGTTGAGTCTTTGACCCAAGAGATAAGAGAGGAGGAAAAAGCAATCTCCTCTATAATTTATACAATTGATTCTTCAGTTTACTTCTTCTGCAAGGCTAAAATGATGGAGGATGCATTGAAGACATACCGTAAGATGCAAGACAGGAAATTATGTCCAACTGTGCATACTTTTGCTAATTTGGTAAATGGATATTCTTCTTTGGAGATGTATCGTGAGATCACAATCTTGTGGGGTGAGATCAAGAGGAGAATGGATACCGGAGATTTAGCAGCTGACAGGGATTTGCATGACTTTGTGCTATGGAATCTTATACGAGGTGGATATTTTGAGAGAGCGATGGAGGTCCTATCTTACATGACAAAGCACAACATGTATATTGATAAGTGGAAGCATAAGAGGGTGTTTCTGAAGTTTCACAAGGATCTCTACAGAAACTTAAAAGCATCAAAGGCCAAAACTGAGGCTCAGAAGGAAAGGATTGAGCATGTCCGGGCATTTAGGAAATGGAGTGGCATTGATTGAGAGACTGGTGAGTACTCCTAGAAAGATCCAAGCCCTATAAGTTGGTTCTTTATTCTTTGTTAAAACAGATTGGTTTATATCTTTCTTAATTTTTTGTCTTCTTTTTTTTTATGAATGATACTTTTTTTTTGTCTTCTTTTTAATTATCAACTCTTGGGCTGTGATTGGTTTGAAAGAAAATAAGAGAAACAGAACAAACTACATATTTCTTGAATCAGAACATTTCTCATAAACATTGCCATAACTTGTCTTTCTCACAATCTCCTTGTTTTGGACTTCGGATTGGAACATAATTGTACTTGAATCTGTTTCCCACACTGATCACCATGACTGAATACAAGCAGTACGGTTCGACCATTGGAAGGACGATGTTTGGTTGGTAAAAGCCTTGAACCTGTTCCAGTCATGAAGCACGGCCCAGAGATCGGCCACCTTTGCATTTATAGTACGACAACAGTTGGCGTGAACGGTGATCACTGCTCCAAAATCTCTGCTATCTTGGCAGAAGCCACTGAAATAGAGGGTGTCCAAGTACCTCACTTTGATCCCTAACCTGGAGAGCTCACCCATGTCTCGCATCTCCTGTAGTACGTCCTGCTCTTTCTTTCCCGTGGAGTTGGCTTTCATGGCGTACCAAGCTTCAAACAATGCCACTGTCTTGCTGTTGGATCTGACGTAGTAGAAGCCGGTGTTGATGGGGTTAGCAGCAGACCAGGAATCACCATAGAACCTGTCACAACTGATCTGTAGATCCTCTCTCTGGTCTTGAGACAACCTCGTGAATGGGTTTCTTAGCCAAATTACGTCCATGTCCTGTGATGCCCAAATATAAATCAGAAAAAGAATCGATTGATCATGTGGTTAGGACTTAGGTTAAGTTTGGAAGTGCTTAAAAATAAGTATTTATTTGAATAATCATTTATTTTGGACTGGGACATCCCCAATATTTACTTATTTGCGTTTGGAAAATAAGCCCAAAATAAGTGCTTATTCTAACAATAAAAACCTATTTGAGAATTCCAAAATTTGGGTTTATTTTTAATTGCTTATTCAATAAGTGTTTATTTTCTTTCCGGTTTGTCTTGGCCTGTCATATCATTTTAAAAATATTTATATATCCCTGTTTAAAATAAATTCTTTTTCACCAAATCCTCGTAAGCACTTATTAAAATAAGCATTTATTTAATAATCACTTATTTTTCAAATAAACACTTTAGGATCATTAAGCCAATGGATATACAGGATTTAATTTATTTCCCATATGGTTCTGATAATTACAAGTTGAGTGTGGCAATCTGGTGCTGGCATCATCAGACCTAATTATAAAATTCAAGCCCAGTCCCAAGAATAGGCCCTACCCACAGTGCTTACAAGACCGTATTCACACCGTTCGCACATCCTTTACAGCCTTGTAATTGGAATACCTCCGTATTTTCATGCTTTTTCCCGATGCAAGGCTGTAAAAGACCGCAAACGGTGTGAATACGGTCTTATGAGCACTGAAGCCCATTTTTCCTGCCCAGTGCCCATTTATTTGTTGAGACTGAATTTTGATATCAAATACCAGTCCTGGAAACCCAAGTCCTAGACTCCTAGGTACTTTCCCAAAGGGGGCTTAACACTCATTGATAGATATCAGTTATCGAGAAATTGTTTTCAAACTTTTTTCTAGGCAAACCAAATTCTCGTATGCTTTCCTTAAACAATTCCGGAGAAGGGGACGTTATTCATTTGGACCAGACAGGAGTGGAGGGTAGCATTAAAATCCCTACTACAATTTGGTTCTTATAGAATTACATGGAAAATATAACAAACATCCACTAACATCGTGTTTGCGTAACATTCAATAGTTTATAGTTGTGAGAAAAGTTATATAAAGGGGGTGATCATTTTCATCCTGGCCCAGTTTTACTTGGTTTGGCCCTACCAAAAGTATGTCAGTCTAAGCAATAGAATGAAAGTCTTACCCGAAACCTATAATTTTTGTCTCAAAGCTAAGCCAAGCTTGCCCTAGTTTGGGTGTACACAGCATTTTTCTTTGTGTTAAACATCCTACAATATAAAATACTATAAGCATAGTTTTGAAAACTGGATTGGACTAGACGGTTGGACCGGTTGACTTGGGAACCGGTCATGGCTTTGGGTCTGATTTTGAACCCCAAAACTGTTCAATCAGGCTTTGAACCTTTTGACCCAAGAACCAATGGTCAAAACAGTTTTGTTTCTGGTCCAGTTTTTAAAACCATGACTATGCTCAGTTTGGAAAAGTACAAATATAAATATGTAGAGTGCAAAGCCTTCTATTTTGTATGTATTTATAACATATATATTTGTATTTGTACTCCTTTCAAACTAAGCATAAATAAAAAATAAATATTATTTGATGTCATAATTCCAAAGCTGAGTCCAACCTGACCCATGATCACCTCTAATGCCAAGTTAGCAGAGGGTGAGAGATACCTGCTAATATTAGAGATTAAAACCTAACCATGAAATGAGAAGGCAGAGGTGGTAAGAAGTTTGATAGCATAATAACATTTGGGTAAAATATAAAAACCTCTCCTAAAGTTTTTGACAGTCATAAAAACCTCCCCCGAGGTTTTACTTTCCCAAAAGCATCGCCTGTAATTCACAAAAACCTGTAGATACCTCCCTTCCATCTTTATTGCTGTAATAGGGCATGTTTTAATATAATTCAAAATGATAGATTTTCCCTTCTAAACTTCACGAGACCGAATGTTTTTAGAGTAAAATTACTTTATTTTATTTCAAACTAATTTGGGGATTTTTTTTTATTAAAAGTGAAAAATACTTTTGAAGGTGTTTTAGTAATTTTCCATCTGAATCGATGGATAAAATGGTAAAATGGATACTTTAAAAAACTAATGCATTATGCCAGCATTTCCATCCAAGATAACGAGACTGCAGGTTTTTTCAATAATACATGGGAGGTTTTTGTGAAAGTGAAACCTCGGGGAGGTTTTATGATTGTCAGAAATTTTAGGGGAGATTTTTATATTTTATCCTAAAAATTTTCACTGGACACAAGGATCCTTGACACCCACCATCAATCATATGGATTTGATGGGTCAAACCCTTCTAGTATCATGTCTTTCTGCAGCATGTTCACCATTCTTCTCCCATCCACTGATAGCTGAGTTGTCAATTAGTCATTGGTTGTAAGCTCCAAATAGAGCTTTTCAGAATTTTTAGATTTGTCTCTGTGTGAAAAATACATTTGAGTTTGAATCAAACGGTTTTCAGACTATCAAGATTTTAATACAAAAGCTCATTGCGTCTTTTGACAGTCAGATTATCAAAAGATCTTCCCAAAAAGCTTACCAAACAACTCCTTAAAAATCTAAATAAAATAATTATAACAGTATTAACCATGCTGAAGGCATGAATTGATAGACTAACATGTCAGGTGGAGAAATCCCCTATAGTGTGTAGAGAGCAGGGACTATCGATTGTGGAAAGCCAAAGTTATTTGGCCTCCATGTGTCCCTTGGGCACCTCATACTCAATTTTCTTATTGTTTGGCTGTATTTGATTTATCAGAAGTCTGCTTTAAAAATAAAAGCAGTAAAGACATGTGTCCGACCAAATGCTTTCTAAACTTAGATTTTAGGGTTTAAAATTTAGGATTTAGACGTTTAAATTTCTTATTATTTTATTTTCACTATGGGCATGGGCTACGCAATAGGGGTAGCTTATCCAGCTGATTAGGGGTGTCAATTCGATCAGATTTAGTCCAATCCAGTCGGATATGAATCTATTATAGATGAACCAGGTCCAATTCAAATGAAGATTCTGAATTATTTTAGATCAATCCAATTCAATGTCTTGACTGTCCAATCTATTCAAATTAGTTTTAATTTAGACTGGTTGTACCTTATTCTTATCTTCTATTAATGAAGCAAGATATTGGTTCAATCCGACCCAATCCAATATAAATTCACTACAACGATCAGGTTCAATCCAAGTTCAATAAATACTTGAGACCATTAAGTCTGGATTGATCCAACCCAAAATCGATTCATTTACATCGATCCCTACAGCTGGCGTCTTACTAGGGTTTTAGCGTTTACGGTAGTCCCTCCCTCCCTCTCTCTCTCTCTGAGTCTCTGAGTCTCTGTTAGTGTGTTGTCTAGTAATGTTTTGAGAAAAAATCGTTTCCCATGAGTGTGTTCATCGTATTCGACTCCTCTTCCGGCGTCGGAAATCCACCGGAAACGTGGCTAACTAAAACGCTGACTGACCTTTTGGTGTGAAACGTCGATGAAGTTGAATGACGTACCGTGAAGATGAAACTGTAACCTCGCCTCAGAACATCGGCAAGGAAGAGGGTTCTTCTCCACATCATCTTGATAAACTCATCAGACATGTACAGTTTCTCTCCTTCGGAATCCATGTCGTCGATCCAAAGTCTGTAGCAGCGCAGCCTTAAAAACATGCAGCGATCGAAAGCCGTTTGATCGACTGTCACAAGCAGCAGGTGATTCACCAATGACCGAGTACCTTCTCCCGACCAGAAACTCTCCATGAAGAGATCCAGCATCGTCTTCTCCTCACTCTCGACGTAAGCCTTGTTTACCATAGAGATTATTACAGTCTTGTCTGCCATTGAAACCTCCTTCAAAGCCTTCTCGAGATCATCCTTTGAAGCAGCAATGGTGTTCTAAATTCACAAAAGAAGGAAGAGAATAAAACAAAATCGGATAAAAAAACACAGAACCCACGATTAATAATCGATAAGGGAACTTGATAGATAAGCTAGTTCTGAATCTGGGAGAGATGCTGCTTAGTGCTTACCATGACTGATGGAGAACATGGGTTGTTCATCTTGACTGAAGAGAAGACATTAGGCATGGAGGGAAACAGAACTGAAGCAGCTAGAACTCCAACCAAGAGAAGAGACAGTAGAGCTAAATTTCCGGCGTTGCTCTTGAAGAAATCCATATCGCCAACCTCGGATTCAAGAGTAAACTTTTCATCATACATGCACCTTAATGAAGTCTTGTAGCCAAAATAGGAAAAAGATATATCAATTAAATTAATTAGTATATTGAGAAAAAGAATATAAATCCTGCTGAAATCTGGTTTATTGCTTTTCTTGTGTATATATATTTAGAAGGGTGACAATTAAATCAAGCACATTATGTGCACCAGCATGTGCATATGATACGATGGTAGTGGTGGGACCTACAATTCGGGCCGACGCCTTGCCACTTGGCTGGAACTCGGAAGAGTAACTCTACTTAACCGGGGTCACGACTCACGAGCAAGACGTGCTCTAAGCAACAGGGATTTTGTGAATTTTCTACTCCAGCTTCTGCTTCAGTGCTTCCTCCAATCCGATTGGAGGGTATGGTCTGAACATGGGAAAATAAAATAAAAACCGCCCGGATCACGAAAAAAGTAGGGTTTGGTCTGGTTCGGGAAAATAAGGATTGATTTGAGTGGATAACAACTTCTTGAAACCGGACCAGAAGTTTTTAAATAACAAATATCACCCATTTAATATATATATTGAATGATTTCAGGCCAAAGCCCCTTATAACCAGACATGTGGCCCCATCTACATTTAGACACTTGTCATTTCAAAGATTTAAACAAAAGGGATAATAGTATATAAGGGCAACTTTTGGGGTTTAATATCAATAAAACTAATATTTTTTTAAAAAATTCAAAAATAGATTAACTTTTAAAAAATAATATCAACAAAGGGCAAAGACACTGTTCATTATCTTCTTCTTACCATTTGTTCACCACTGCAACGTGGCTGGAGGCGGAGGCGGAGGCGGCGGCGGGCGGTAGCAGACGGTGGTGGAGGGTGGCGGCAGATGGCGATGCTGTGAACAAATGGCAAGAAGAAGATGATGAACAATGTTTTTGCCCTTTATTGATATTATTTTTAAAAAGTTAACCTATTTTTGAACTTTTTTTAAAAATATTATTTTTATTGATATTAAACCCCAAAAGTTGCCCTTATATGCTATTACCCCTAAACAAAACAGACACGTGTCAAATTCTGATTAGTGGTAGTTCAAGAAAAGAGCCCATTAACATGTAGAGTGGATCCCACCACCATGCAGAGTTATGAGAAGTGGGAAGCTCCTGCTTTCAATCATTTCCTAGAAAAAAAGGAAATTGTGCTATTAATTACTATTAACTACTAAACTAATTAATTAATTCCAGCTATTGATTACTAATAATAATTACTGTTAACTACTTCTAATTAATTAATTACAACTATTCAATACTAATAATAATTATTGTTAATTACTAATTAATTAATGTTAACTACTTCTAATTAATTAATTCCAGCTATTAATTACTGATAATATTACTCATTATTAATTCAAAAAATAATTTCTTATAATAATTACTGCTAATACTTAATTACTGATAATTTATTATTGACAATATTGCTCATTATTAATTCAAAATGATAATTAATAAATATTTTCATAATGGTAATTAATAATTCAGAATAATAATTTTATATTTATATTAACTCATATTAATTATTTTGAAAATAAATACTTAATTTTAATTAATTATATTATAATTATTATTAAAAATTATAATTCATACATTTATATAAAATAATTAATTATATTATAAAATTAATTATGATTAGTATTATTATATTAATTAATATAATTATATTATTATTATCAATAATTATAATTAACTATTACTAATACTAATGATGATAATTATTACTTTGGAATGTTAATTAATTAATGATAATTAATAAGCATTTTAATAATGTTAATTATTAATTGGGATATAATCATTTTATATTAATATTAATTCATATTAAATATTTTATAAATATATAATTAGTGTTACTTATTTACATTATTATTATTACAAGTAATTATAATTAATACTATTATTATTCTCCAATAAATAC